CCCCCCACCCTCCCGTCGTCGTTCCCCACGCAGGAATTGTCGCCCGAGCTCGCATCACTTCGGGCGGGCGCGCTTCCGCGGCAGCGCCGCGGCCGAGGAGAGGGCGGCCTGCCTGCCGGCGGCCTGCGGCGGCAGAGCAGGCGGCCGATGGGGCGATGGCGGCGGCGGCCGAGGGCTCCGCAGTTGCGGCGACCGAGGGCCCCGCAGCGGCGGCAGCCGAGGCCCCCGCAGTTTCGGCAGCCGAGGGCCCCTCAGTTGCGGCGCCCGAGGGTTCCGCAGATGCGGGGCCGCCCCCTTCGAGTGCTTGGGTCGAGCGACAGGCCAAGCGCCATGGGGCGGCCCAAGAGGCCCAAGAGGCCCAAGAGGCCAAAGCTGCCGCAGAGGCGACCAAAGCTGAGGCCGCAGCCGAGCCCACGGCCAAACTTACTCAAGCGGAGGTCGAGGCCGCCGTGGAATTTCATATTTCGGATGGAAATAGCGAGGGGGGCTGTGGAGATCGAAGAGGGGCAGCGCGCGCAGGCGAGGCTAAGCGAGGTCACCGCAGCGGCAGCTACCGAAGAGGCCGCTGCCGAGGCCCGCGGGGCGGCTCAGGCGAGCCGCACTTGCGGCTCGCAGGAGGAGGGGCGCGAGGAGGGGGGGGGGGGGGGGGGGGGGGGGAGGGGCGAGGAGGACAAGGGGGACTACGAGGAAAGCGGCGGAGCACCCGAGGCCGTATGTCACGCTGGGGGGTCGCCAGAGTCCCCCCCCCGGGAGGAGGAGCGCAGCAACGACAAGATGAGCGACGGCGACCACGCAAGCCAAGAGGGGGAGGAGGGGCGCGAGGGCGCAAGCGCAGGATCTGCCGCAGCTGCGGCCCCCCATCCTGCCCAAACGCTTGATCCCATCCACAGTCAGCGACTGGAGTTACAGCCCATGCGGAGGCCGAAGCCCGCCTCCGAAGTTGAACGCGACCCCCAGCCTGCCCGCGCCCTGGCAGAGAGCGCCCCAAGGCAGCCCACAGCGTCTCCGAGGGCCGCAGAGCGCATGACGCTGAACCTGACGGTAGCTCAGCTTGTTGTATCGTCCGCAGTTGCGGGCGATGACTTCCGCCGGCAGCTCGAGAACTGCCCGGCCTTCGTCGTCGCGCTTTTGATGGGCCCCATCAGGAGCCATGGCAAACAGGTGGTCAGGAGGGGCAAGGAGATGCGCGCCCGCCTCCTGGAGCGGGCCTTTTCCCTTTTGGACTTGTGGGGAGGTTACCGCCTAGACGGCGACGCAGGAGCGACCCTCTTCAGGCACGCGCGCGCGTCTGCGCAGCAGCTCGCTGGAGTTGATTCGCATGGGGCGCGTAGCTACGCGGGCGCGCGCCTCGCGCTGAAGGGGGCCACCAGAACCTGGAGACCGGCGCTGCGGTCGGCGTCGTCTACAAGACTGCCCGCGACATGCGCTCGGAGGCGGCCCGGCCCAACGACTTCCTCGCTGCTGTCGCCCAGCTCGCGCGCGAGAAGGGCGCGCGCTTCCTGGGGGGGGGGGTCATTGATTGCCCTCGTCACCAGGTGATGGTTTGGGCATCTCAGTGGGGGCCTGTGGCAGTGGCCCCATCGCTCAGCTGTGGCGCGACCCTCGCCCAGAGGTCGCAGTTGCGGCTCAGGCCTGGGAAAGGGGCCCGCAGCCCTTCGCGGGCGCGCTCGACTTGAGGCAATCGCTACACGAGCACTGGGCGCACAAAGAGTACATGTGCGTAGCGGGGTCAGCCGCAATGCAGTACCCAGACTTCAGGGCCTAACCTCTTGTACCAGAGTGGTGGTGGACATGGCCAGACACTCTTTCGGCGAAGTCCCTGATGCACGCGGATGAGCTGCCAGCGTGGGCCGCGGAGAGCTCCGACGTGAACGAGCCCCTCCGCGACCTCGGGCAGGTGCGCCAGAAGGTCGCCAACCTGGAGCGGCGGAGGCCGCGCATCCACCAGCTGCCCCTCTAGGTCGGCACGCCCCGCCGAAGGCCGGGGGCGCGGGCGATGCAAGGGGCAGCGACCAAGCTCCAGCGCAAGGGGGCGGACAGGGGGAAGGGCAAGGACATGCGCAAGGGCAGGGCCAAGGACAACGACAAGCGCAAGGGCAAGGGCCAGGGGAAAGGGCCCGCAGTTGCGGGTCCGTTCGGCCTGAAGGGCTCGCCTTGAGTCCGCAGCTGCGGAGCCGAGAGGAGGGCGAGGAGGGCGAGGGGGGGGGGCTGCCGGCAGAAGCCGCAGTGGCGGCCCGCAAAGGAGGCCACCTTCCGTGGGCGCCGCGCGGCCGCCGCTCACGACATCGCAGAGGTGGCGCCAACAAAAATGTCCGCCAGATCCCCTCTCCTGCTCCTCCTCCTCGTCCTCCACTTCCCCTTCCTCCTCCTCGTCGTCGTCGTCGTCGTCGTCGTCATCGTCGCCGTCGTGAAAGACGACCCGTAGCATTCTGGACCCAATGCATGCGCGCACCTCGCACCCCGCGGGGGGGAGCGACTCACGGCGGCGGCGGCGCATGCAGCGCGAACGAGAGTGGCGAGGTCGGGGGGGGGGGGGGGGGGGGGGGGGGGGGCGAGGAGGAGGAGATGAGGAGGGGACAGAGCAGCAGGGGGGGGGGGGGGGCGAGGAGGAGGGAGAGGAGGAGGAGGAGGAGGAGGAGGAGAGGAGGAGGAGGAGGAGGACGGAGGTGGAGGAGGAGGAGGAGGAGGAGAGGAGGAGGAGGGGAGGAGGAGGAGGAGGAAGGAGAGGAGGAGGAGGAGGAGGAGGGGGGAGGGGGGGGCGAGGAGGCGCGCAGTTGCGGGCCCTCGGAGCGCGAACACAAGGCGGAGGGGGGGGCGGGGAGGTCGAGGAGAAGGAAGAGGGGGGAGAGGAAGAGGACGAGGGACGAATATGAGGGAAGAGGCCGGAGGAACAACGCGAGGAGGAGGAGGAGGAGGAGGAGGATGAGGAGGAGGAGGAGGAGGGGAGGAGGAGGGAGAGAGGGGATAGACGGAAGGGGCGACGTGGTGACGGACGCGGACACAGAGGAGGCGGCGAGCCCATTGCAGGACGCGTTTCGGGCGCGCAGGAGGCGGGCGAGGCATGAGGTAGCAGCGCGGAGGCAGCGCGAAGAGGAGGACAGGAGGAGGGCATGTGTGATCGGAGGAGGACGAGGCGGCCTTGCAGGAATGGAGGGGGGGCGCGCCGAGCAGCAGCAGTGGTCGGCTGGCATTCCCCGAGCGCGCTCCTCGGCTGCGCCGCCTTTCTCCTTTCAGGCTGGAGGCGCGAGCGCAGAAGAGCCCTCGCCCTCCTTCTTCTCCTCCTCGTGATCATCATCTTCCCCGCCCTCCTGCCCCTCCTCCTCCTCCTCCTCCTCTCCTCATTCCTCCTCCTACACCCCCCGACCTCTTCCGCCCCCCCCCCCCCACCCCCCCCCCCCCCCCTCGCCGGCCCCCCCCGGCCCTCCCCCCCCCCCCCCCCCCCCCCCCCCCCCCCCCCCCCCCCCCCCCCCCCCCCCCCCCCCCCCCCCCCACCCCCCCCCCCCCACCCCCCCCCCCCCCCCCCCCCCTCTCATCGTCATCGTCGTCGTCGTCAGCGTCGTCGTCATCATAATCAGCATCATCTTCATCATCATCGCCCTCATCACGCTCGCCGCCATCATGCCCATTTTGGCCGACGCCCAGCCACCGCGGCTCAAGGCGCGGTTGCGCGTTTCGTCTTCGGCCGCGCGCCGCCGCGCGCCCGCGGGAGGGCCCGCAGTTGCGGGCCCGCGCATGGCAGACGAGGGGGCCATCGGTGTCGTCTGGGGGGCCACCCTCCTCAGGGCCAAGTACAGGGTTCAACGGGGGAAGCTTCTCTGCCCGCTCGCCATCCTCGGCGCTCGCCCATGCAATCGCGGGGGGGGTGTATCCCATGGAAGAGACAGTGGTGAATCTCGGTCTTTCGATCTTCCTCGGCGGGTTCTCGACCGACGAAGCCAACCGCGAAGGGGTCTGCGCGCGGGGGCCCCCGCCCCAGGAGCAACTCAAGAAAACGAGCTACGAGACGCACGAAGCCTACAGCGCGCAGAAGCGCGCCGCAGCTGCGGCATGTCAGACATGTTTCCAGAAGGCGCACGGCGTGCCCTACGGCGCGCTGTCGCACAGCCATTTCTTCATGGTCTTGAAGTCCCTGACAATTGGTGCCGGGTGGCCCATCGCAGAGGGCTCGAGGCTCGAAGCACGAGCCTTTGAAGAAACTCCAGACTCAGGACGGCAGGTGGGACGTTGCCGCAGTTGCGGCAGCGGGCGCCGCATTCGCGGAGCTCTACAAGGACGGGCTAAGTATGGGGGTGCTCCCCTGGCAGATATACACCGAGTGCCCACGCACTTGCTCGTTAATTTCCAACGCTATCAACAAGACGCAGCAACTAGGCTCGCGCACCTCGGAGATCACCGCCGTGAAATCCTTAGCGACTGCAGCGTCTGCTGGACAGGCACGACGAGAAGCCAGCCTCGCGTCTGAGCAGGTCCAGGCGCGGGCGCGCGACGAGCTCGACGCGTGGGTGGGCGACCCCGAATACGTCGACGCCGTGACAATAGGCGGACAGAAAGCAGGGTTCCTGGACGAGCTGCTGGCTTTCGCAGAGAAGTTCGAAGACCATTTAAAAAGACAACTTAGACTGGCTGGGTTCGCAGTTGCGAACCAGATGCCCGCGGAGACGCTGCGTTCGAAAGTGGCTGTCATCGCGCGGGCGCACCGCAGGCCACCCAGCAAGACGCGGCGTTCATGCCCCGAGTCTTTCTGGCCTAAGTCGCCCCCCTCTGACCCGGCGGCGCTGGAGGAAGCGCCGCGCTACTTCCGCGGCGCCTGCAAAGCCGCAGTTGCGGCTCTTCCAGCGCAGAAGCGACCCGGCATCCTCCCAGGCGTGTGCTGCGTCGCAGCAGAAACGCTCGCGGCGTGGAGGGTGTAGAAAAAAGTACGTTGACAAGCATGCCGAAATAATCATTGTTAAAGGAGTTGGGAAGGTTCTACGACCAACTCAAGGAGCAGCGCGCATCGGCGGGCGCAGCCAGAGATGCCCCCAAAGCAAAGCAGTCCTGCATTGACTTCGCCGCAGTTGCGGCGAAGGCCTCCGCTTCAGCTGCCGGCGCTCCGTCCGCGCCCGCGCCTGCTCGCATTCTGCCGAGGGCCATCGAATGCGACGCTGAGACAGCGCAGCCCACTACCAGCAGGGCGAAAAGGGGCAGGAGCGACAAGGAGAAAGCCGCAGTTGAGGTCGCGCCATGGAAAGCGTGGGCGCGGTCGGGGGGCGCGCAGAGTCTGGGCCGGCACGCTGCGGCTCGCGCTGCCATCTCCCTCGCGTTGAGGGTGCAACGCGTTTCAAGGGCGCCCCCGAAGCAACCTGCGGAGATCGCCCTGGACATCGACAACAAGAGGTACGCCAGAGCCGACGCCGTCGTGAAGGAGGGGGGGCTGCAGCTTTACCCGCGCGCGCCGAAGGGGGCCAGGCTTCCGTCGAAGAGCGACCGCCCTACCCTGGCCGCGCGACCTGTCAAGTGGAGGAGTCGCGCGAGGAAGAGGAAGAGAAAACGCAGCGCACGTGCTGCCTCAATCCCGAACTCAAGTTGCCGACCTTAAAGGCCGTTGACTCCGCAGCTGCGGAGAAGGAGGCCTCTGGTGACGCCGCGAAGGGCACGGGCGCCGCGTGGCACTTTTCTGGAGACGAGAGTCTGTGCCCGTTCTGGGCCGCGTCGAGAGTGACCGACGACGAGATGAATAAGATGCAGCAATGTCTTGGAACGAGTGCGTCTCGTTTCACCATGGAGCGTGGCGGCGAGGAATTCGCCGCAGTCGCGGTCAGGGAGGCGAACTTGAGATTTCATTTCTTCGTTCCTGTGCCCACACATTCCGTGGCCTTGCGCGCGGGCGAGCGGCTTTTCACGCTGCAACCAAAGACAACAGAGAAGGAAAGAGCCGCGGAGACGCGGATAACAGACGCAAAGAAAACGAAGTCCAGCGGCGAGGCCAAAGCCAAGGCGAACACGAAGCCAAATGCGACATATGCCTTGGAGGTCGCGGCCAATCATTACATATAAGGGGGGCCGCAGTTGCGGTTCCATGGAAGACCAGGGGGGGCCACCCCGAGGTCTCGGTTTCCGTGGCACGTTGGCGACGTCCGCAGTTTCGGAGTTTTGTCGGCGGCCCGCAGCTGCGTGCCTTCTCGCGACATCTCGCGAGACCGACTGGGCTGACTTGCGGCGGCGCGGAGGCGCCTCCCGAGAGAAGAGCCCCCTGCCCGCGCGCGCAGGGGGGAGGAGGGGTGCGTCGTTGGAGGGCGGGTGGTGGGGTTGGGGTGGGGAGGGGGGGGGGGGGGGGGGGGGGGGGGGGCGGAGGAGGAGGAAGAGGAGGCAAGGTGGAGGGGGGAGAGGAGGAGGAGGAGGAGGAGAGGAGGAGAAGGAGGAGGAGGAGGAGGAGGAGTTTAGCAGGAGGGGGGAGGAGAGGAGGAGGGGGAGGCGGAGGAGGAGGGGAGGAGGAGGAGGAGGAGGAGGAGGAGGAGGAGAGGAGGAGGAGGAGGCGGAGAGGGGTGGAGGGGAGGAGGAGGAGGGGGGGGGGGGGGAGGAGGAGCGGGAGCCTGGCTCCCTTCCCCTTCCCCCCCCTCCCTCCTCCGTGGCAAGAGTTGGCGCGCGCGCCCCGCGCCCCGAACGACGAGGCTGTGTCTCCCGCCTCCCCTCTTCTGCTCCGCCCCGCCTCTCCTCCCGCTGTTTAGGGTCTCTTCCAGGCGCTGCTCGAGTCTGTTCCCTTGGGCCGGCTTCGACAGGAAGCTGGCCCAAGGTGGCGTGGTGGAGCTGGATCGCGAGCTGCGGGTGGCCCTCGTAGAGCCGCCGTGTCCGCCAAGTCCGCGGGCGGCCGAGGAGGAGGAGGAGGGGGGGGGAGGAGGAGAGGGCGGGGGAAAAGGGAGGGGGAGAGGGCCGCAATAACGGCGGGCAGGGGGGGAAGACAGACGAGACGGCGACAAAGAGGAGGACGAAGCGGTGGAGGAGGCGGAGAGCGGAGGAGGCAGGAGGACGACGAGGGGGCGGCGGAAGGAGCGGGGGGGGGGGCAGAGGGGGGGGCGGGGAGGAGACGAAGGAGCGATAAGAGCACTTCGAGGAGGCCAGGGGAGCTCTGCCAGGGGGGGGGAGGGGGGTGGCGACGGTGCGCCAGGGGGGGCGGAGGAGGATGAGGAGGGGGGGGGAGGAAATCCAGGGGGTCCAGAGCGGCCAACTTGGATCCAGAGGGCGGAAGGCCCGCGCACCAGGGGGGGGGGGGGGGGGGGGGGGGGGCGGGCGTTAGGGCAGCAGATGAGAGTAGAGCGCGGGCAGGGGTTGTTCCGCGCGCGCAGCAACGGGCTCAAGACCTCCTGGGCGGGGAGGTCGCGCGCCCTGCGCGCCTGCGTTTGCGCCGCAGTTGCGGCGCTCATGCCTGCTTCGTGGACAGAAGTCAATGTGGAAAGGATGCATGTGATCAGTGGGGGTATCTGCAATAAACCTTACGCGGCGACCTCCAGAGCGGCGTTCCTGGACGGCCAGCGGGTAGACTTCGCGCGCCTGGAACAAAAAACAAGCCAGGCCACGGGGTGCTCGAGCGCGCTGGCGGGGGCGGTTGCCAGAAGGGCGGCCTCCGCATAACGACTGTCGTGGAGCTTCTGCGCGAGAAACTGACGGCGCATGACGAGGCCGACGTCGCCCCTAACGCAGTTGCGGAGAAAGATGTTCCCACGGCGAATCTCGACGACGTCGGGGGGCCGCCGTGGCGGGGCCTGATTGCAAGAGGAGGAAGACGGCGAAGCTGCGCCCCAGGGAGTTGGCTAAGCGAGTGCAGGTGCTTGAGAGCCTGGGGGGTCCGCAGTTGCGGACTGTGACTGCCATGGAAACAGGCGAGTCTGCCGCGTGGCTCTCGTCAGACCACATTCCCTGGTTACTCCGACACCTTGCGGGTGAAATCGAGACGGGGGAGGGGGGGGGGGCACCGCCGATCCTTGATCCAGACGGCGAGGAGGATGAGGGCGGGGTCGAAGAAGACGCGCCCGTAGTTGCGGATACAGGAGATGCGGAAATTCCAACGAAAATCAGGCAGGGGCGCAAGTCGCTGAGTCAGATCCGCTGGGACTTCAATGGGGCATGGGCCCCCCGCATCAGAACGGGCCGAAGAAGGGCGCCACCGCCGCGTGCAAAATGGAGGACATGGCTGCCGAGAACTGGGCCGTTGCCGACAAGGTGCACTCACGCGGCAAGACGTTCCACGGAGCAGCGTCGAAAGAGAAGCGAGATGCAGCGAGGCGCCTTCTCGAGCTGCACGCGCAGAAGGTGGCAGGGGCGAAGGGGGCGGCTTAAGTGGCCGCGGCGTCGCGCCCTGAGGTGCCGCAGCTGCGGCCCTAGATGGGGGCCGCGTTCGGTGGTCGTGACAAACGCGCCACAAGGAGAGCTGCAGGCAGAGGGGGCGTCGACAGGCAGCTGTTGGGTTGAGGCGACTGCGCGGGCGGGGCGCGCGCGTGGGGCGTCTCCGAGCGTTGCGCCGCCGTCAGACAATGAGGCGTTCCTCCTCACTCTGCTCTCTCGGCCCTCGTGAACTCTGTGTACCTCGCTTTTATCAGTCATTGTTTTTTCCTTGTTGTTTCTTTCTCTCTCTCTCTCTCTCTCTCTCTCTCTCTCTCTCTCTCTCTCTCTCTCTCTCTCTCTCCGCTCGGCCCCTCCCCTCGCGGCCCCTCCCTACTTTCTCTCTCCATCTCCTCTCTCTACTCCGATCTCTCTCTACTCTACCTTCTCCTCTCTCTCTTCTCTCTTTTCTTTCGTCTTCCTCTCATCTCTCCATCCTTCTCTCTTCTCTTCTTCTTCTCTTCTTCTCTATACTCTCCTCCTCCTCTCTCCCCTCTCATCTCTCTCTATATCTCTCTCTCTCTCTCTCTCTCTCTACTCTCTCTCTCTCTCTCTCTCTCTCTCTCTCTCTCTCTTTCTCTCTCTCTCTCTCTCTCTCTGTCTCTCTCTCTCTCTCTCTCTCTCTCTCTTTTTCTCTCTCTCTCTCTCTCTCTCTCTCTCTCTCTCTCTCTCTCTCTCTCTCTCTCTCTCTCTCTTGCCCCCGCGGTCCCGCAGATGGCTCAGCGGGGGCATTCGTGGCAGGGGCGCCGCGGGTGCGTCTGCAGGGGGCGGCCATGGACGCGCCTGCGGGCGCGCGCTGGTCCGGGCAGGAAAAAGGGGCCCACTTCGAGGTCGAGCGGCTTCCTCGCGACAGCGGCTTTCCGCCGAGGAAGACGAAGTATGGCGCGACAGGGGTTGCCAACATCTGGGGCCGCAGTTGCGGCTCCAACTGCCCTGCAAAGGTGAAGGTCCACGCGCGCGCACGTGAACCGCGCCAAGCCAAATGGCCACCGTCGCAATACTAGAGCCGTCCATGTTTCATTCGCGGCCTTCGGACTGGCGACCTCCACCATCGCCTGGAGACGCAGTTGCGGCTCCTGCTGTGGAGGCGGCGGCGCATGCTCAAGCGCCTGGAGACGCAGTTGCTGCCCCTGCAGCAATCCCGACTCCGCCGCCAGCAGCGGGCCCCCCCAGCGCAGACAGCGCGGGGGCACCGCCACCCCCTGAAGGATCGGCCCCAGCAGAGACAGCATCTGAGGGCGGCGCAGACCCCTGCACAGACGCCGCAGCTGCGGCAAAGGACCCTGCGAGCGCCGAAGCCGCCGCAGCGGCGCAACTTGCGGCGCCTTTGCTGCCGGCGAGTTCGGCCAGCAGTGAGGCCGTCGTTGCGGCCCCGACCTCGGCCCCGCTTCAGATGGGAAAGGCGCCCCCGCGTGTTGCAGAGGGCGATTGCAGCCTGTCGGAAGGTGCGCGCCGCCTGCTCGCGGACGTGGAAGCAGTTGCAATGGGCGAGCGCACGCGCAGCAGAACTCCGAGCAGCGGCCATCTTGGACGAGCTCCTCAGGCTGGCCAGGCAAATCGGCGAACCTCGATTTTATGTTGGGCACTCTGCTTTCTATTTTTGGCTTAACCTTTCGGCGTGAGGCCGTGGATGCGGGAGGGCACGGCCCGCGCGGACATCGCGGGCGCTTTCTTGCCGCCGTGGCAGCAGGGGCGCTGCAGCGGCCCCTGCCTCGTGGACGGCGTTTGCACGGCCCTGGCCCCGCTGGAGAACGGGGCCGCCCTTCTCGCGCCCATCGCAGATGAGAGCCCGCTTGCAGGGCGCCGCCACTACGTGGCCGCTGCGCGGATGGGCGCCGCAGTTGCGGCGGAAGGCGTGGGCATTGACGCGTTTTGCAACAGGTTGGGCGTCGCCTTGCGCGGGGCAGTCATGGACAGCGACTGCGCCATCGACGCAATGCGCGCGATGCTTGGCGAGGGGCGGTCTGCAGCGACGACGGCGAAAGCCCGCCGTGAGCTTCGGGACTACCTAATTGAAAGGACGAGGGAGAAGTGGATGCAAGAGCTCATGGCCACGCGCCAGGAGATGTCGTGGGAGGAGGTGACAGCGTACCGCAGTTGCGGCGCCATGTCGGAGGAGCAGCTGGCGGTTCCGGAGGGGGCGCGCGCCGGCGACTGCGAAGGCGAGCCAGGGAGGCCTACGGGTGAGCTTCTGGACGCGCTCGCCTGGTCCACCGGAGTGAAAGATCCAGGCGTCTCGTTGGGTATCGCAGCTGGCTTGTCGCCGGCCGCTCGAGAAGAGCAACTTCGGAAACGCGCTCGCCAAGCTCGAGCCGCCGCAGGAGAGGAATAAGAAACGCGCCGAGGGATAAATGACTGTGGTCGCGCGAAGACTTAGATCCAAAATGCAAGTGGCAAGGCTGTTTTGGGGCACCCTCCGCAGTACCGGGTGGCGAGAAGGTGGCCGTGCACCGCGCGGTGCGCTGGAGGCTTTCGAGAAGCGGCTCGTTTGGCCGACAGCGTGGCGCAGGGGAAAAACCATGCGCTGGCGAGAAAAAAAGGGTCTCGCCATGGCTGAGAGAGTTCTTGAAGAATGAGGTGGTTGACGGCATACACGCCCCGACCAAGATAGACGTGGGAGGATCGGGCAACG